TAAAACATGATGCTTCCACCACCATGCTTCTCAGTAGGTACTGTGTTCTTTAGTTGATGAGATGTGTTGTTTGTGTGCCAAATATATCTTTTAGAATTCAGGCCAAAAACTTCAACTTTTGTCTGATCAGATGGTTTCAAGTGATTGAGTGCATTTTTTTTATTACTTTAACCCACAGCCCAGACGTGTGCAGAGTACAAAAATTGTTGCCACATACAAGGAGCCGATGATACCAGCCAGAAATTGCTGGAGCTTCTTTAAAGCTTCCATCAACATGGTTTCAAATGTTTAAAATTTTGTTTTAATAGTAAAGATATGTCACAGAAAAAGCATTTAGAAGTTGTTTCAAGAAATATATATAAATTAATACAATGTAATAGTAGATAAAAGCTCCAAAAAGTCTGAGCTGTTGCCTAGATCTGAGTGACCGTGTCACACCACATATAGATTGACCCAGCGCCAGAGGCAGTGGTAAACGACACCACCAACAATGCTAGAGAAGGCACATGGAACAGACAGGATCAGTGATTTGGCCCTACTTGTTTGATTTTGAAGAACAAGAGCGCCCCCTGCAGGAAAACAGACCACTTCACTCTTCTCAACCAAACTCTGAATGGTGAGTAAGAAGTGCAAAATGGAGAACAAGCTGTTTTGAGATGTAATTACATTTTGCAGCTAATGTTTGAGGACTCAGACCTTCATCTTATGATGGAGTAGATCACAGACATGTCCTGTCTAATATTTCAACACTCAGCATTGACATTATGTATTCGTAGCCTATAGCTAGCTAACTGCTGAACCGTGCTTCTAAATCTGAGGTCACACAAGCTCCTGTTATGAGTTGGCACCGTCATATTAGTGGATTGCTGGGGAGATTGCTGCCCTAAAACTAAGATAACATCATTTTATTCCTAAAGTTAACCAACATAAGTAGGAATCCCTAGGAATTCCTAACAAACGCCATTAACAAATTAAGAAAAGCTTGCTGAGAGTTGTTATTTACAGTACCATGAAAAAGTTTGGGCACGCTTGGTCAAAATTTCTGTTCCTATGAACAGTTGAGTGAGCATAAGATTAACTGATCTCCAAAAGTTAAAGATAAACATTCTTTTTGAAATTTTAAGCAAGATTGGTGTATTATTTTTGTTTTGTACAATTCTAGAGTGAAAAAAGGAGTACCATGTAAACATTTGGGCAGCCCAAGAGCTTTGAACTCTCAGATGACTTTTATCAAGGTCTCAGATCTTAATTAGCTTGTTAGTAAAGTCCAGGTGATGCAAATTTCAAAGCTTTATAAATACTCTCCTCAAACCATGGCACAACATCAGCAGCCATGGCCCCTAAGGAGCTGCCTAGCACTGTGAAAACTAAAATAATTTATGCCCACAAAGCAGTAGAAAGCTATAAAAAGATAGCGAAGTGTTTTCAGTGAGCCATTTCCTCAGTTTGTAATGTAATTAAGAAATGGCAGTTAACAGAAATGGCGGAGGTCAAGTTAAGGTCTGAAAGACTAAAAGCACTGCTTGTAAAATTGCTATAAAGGCAAATCAAAACGCCCATCTGACTGCAAAAGACCCATAGGTCTTTTAGCAGTCTGTTAAATTTAGTAAATAAACAGTAATTGTATATTAAAGTGTGCAGTGTGTTGAATGTATAGGATGAGTTAACTTATTTTTAATTAGAAAATCAACAAAAATGTCATTTGACCCAGGATGCTTAAACTATTACATACAACTGTAAAACGTTATGGTTTCCCACAGGCATCTACAGCTAAATGCCACAGGGCTACGCTCTGCTAGTTACAGTGACAAACACCTTTTTTAATATGTAAAGCACTACTTTGGACTTGATTTTGTGTGTAACTTATTATCTATGAATGCAGCCAGGATATCGTAGGTCTTTTTATTACAATTCTTTTTCTATTTGTTTTCTCTTGAATTTTGAGTTTTCATTTGAATCATGCATAGTCTTATTTAAGAAGGAAAAATGTCTGACATGGTTTCATTAATCAAAATTTCAAAGCAAAATGGTGCCCATCATACTTCATGAACATCTGGGCCTGTATTTCAAAGCACCTCAGAGCAGGAGTGTTGATCTAGGATCTGTTCCTGTCAGTAAGATCATTGTAAATAGGACATGGATCTGATCCTGAATCAGCACTCCTACTCTAAAAAGCTTTGTGAATACAGGCTCTGTTTCCCATTGAATCTTTCAAAGGATATTCCGTTCTCTGAGCCATGGCCTTATGCTGCTGGGACGCAGTAGGGGGCAGTGTAGCATAATGAAATATAAGCAAAGTCCCTCCATTGGCAGTTTTCACAGGCAAGCAGTCAGATAACACTAGTAAGTAAGTAAACTGAAGGATCAAAAGCCTTTAATACACTTATCTGATCTGCATCACATACTTTGGTACACTGTAAAAATTCATTAATTGAGTGATATATTGAACAGTTGTGGTAAAGTAAACATTTTGAGTTTGAGTTTCTTCTTTGGATGGAACTCTAAACTGAATGATGAAGAATTTACATTTAAATGCAAATACAATTTACATTTAAATGCAAATTACATTTAAATGCAAACACAAATAATGACCCTGATAGCAAGAGGACAGTGGAATCACAGTCCAATTTGCTTATTTTTCCTTCCCCCTTTCTTTAGTTATACTTTGTAAATTAGTTTAATCCAGCACAGTGTCAGCAATATTTTTTATAAAAGCATTTTATATTAGGCCTAGTCATTATTGTTTTTTTTCTCTCAGTTGTTTGTAATATTTGTCTAAGTTTATTTTCTAAAATAAAAGTGCATTTAAGATCTGTATGGGGTGATTAAAAACCCCTGTATGCAGGACAATAATCTGGGTGGTCCGAGGGTGGACCAGCAGTGGCAAACAGTCAGCAGCGTGCCGATATATGATTGCTATCTAGAGGACGCTGATGCCCAAGTATTGATTTATTCCCAAAGAAACTTCTTTAATCATGTTAGAAAAGCATCTGAAGTGGCCCCTCATGAAGCTGCTTTTTTTAGTCACTGCATAATTCCATATTTAAATTTTCTGCTGATATAGGCCAGATGCTGGTACCCCTCGATACTAATAGACAATTCTCTAGCGTTTTATCACTAAATCAAAGTGCCAGGGAACTACAATTTGTGATTGTCAGGAATATAATATATGATATTTAAAAGAAAAAAAATCAAATTTACTGAATTGTTCACTTACCCCAGATGCAGTCAACTAGCTAAGACATGTCTGGTGTCTAAATTTAGCTTCCGTAGCTTAGCGCTGGAACTATGGGGCTAATGTTGCTAATACACACTAGACACCATAGTGACTCATAGCTTTTCTGTCAGTACAATCTCAAAACTTCTCTCAACTCGTCCAAACCACATCCAGGTCTTCACTGAGGTCACACAGACTTGTTATATGTGGTTTAGGGCAGTTTTATTTACTGTAAACTATAAAATGAACAAAGCTTCACAGTGTAGCCAAATGCTGTGGTCAGCCATTTTAAACATGCTTTGGTTCTGGGGAGGCATTTGCAGAAAAGAGACTTGGGGATGTATTGACTTCTAGTATAGTTAGCCTCATAGCTCCAGTTTCAAACTAAAGAAGCAAAACTTGGGCACCAAATATGTGTCAACTGGTCATGTACATCTGGGGTAAGTGGAAGATTGTGTAAATTTGGAAAAATGTGTAAAAGTGTTGTGACCACTTGATATAATTCAGTTTTTCTGCCTATAAATTTTACGAATTTTAGTTAAAGTGCAAACAAATCAAGCAAGAATCTCCCTGATGTAAACTCCTAATTTCTTGTGATAAATCCTGAAGGTCTAAAGGGTGCGCTGTAAGCTTGACATACTCACTCCAGTCAGGCTCATGTCAGTTGCTTTTAAGAGCTGAAAGGATATTTCATGTGTTAGTTTGGCCCTGGATGACCTCACTACCAGTACATCTACTTAGAAAGTCATGATTCGAAATTCCTCCCAACAGCTCTCTGAACACAAGGAATTTTGGGGGGAATGTAAATAAAGTAAATTCACAGCATTTGTGCTTGTCTAAATTTATTACACAGTGGTGTTAGAATTATTACAAAACAGATTTGTTTATTCATCTTAATTATAAGATTCGTGTAAATGTCTTTAAAGGAGCCAAAGAGTAAAAAAAAGTGATCACTTCAAACTTTCTTGCTGTCATAAAAGTATTTTCCATTCTTCTTATTTCACAGAAGGATTAACTACAGTGTGTATGTGCTTGTAAGCATGTTGATGCCCTGTGAAGCAAAGACAGTAAACATATTTGACCCCAAATTCAACCCCCTCATAAAATGAACAAGCAGCACAATGACCTATTTAACCTTTATTGGTCATTTTTTTTTACATTCAATAGCTTTTACATCAAATAGCTTTAGTTCAAGTCACATAATTGGGGAGACAGGCAATAAATACACAGATATGAAGACACTGAACATCAGGCTACAGTACAAGTAAAAGCTCTGCCTTTACTTTGCGTCATTATGGCATATTTACATGAGTCCATGACTTGGTCATGTGTAAGAAGGTCTTGACTGACAGGGCATGGAAGCAACTTCCAAGACAGTTTGAGCTTTCTGATACATTGCAAAAGTAAGAGACCACCCTTTCATGTATTTGATTTTCAGTCAAACTAGCCATTAAATACAAGTTATTCAAATAATAGTGTTCCCTAAGGAATCACTGACACATGTTCCTTTTTAAAGAGACACTAACATTCACACAAGCAACTACACAAATTCACCTCAGCTGCCTTACAAATTTCTTTCTTAAAGCAAGGAGCCCAGAGCCCTCAACATCACGTAATGTGTTTGGGATTACTAGTATTGTGAGAAGCAGAAATGCAACCAACTTTTAAAACTGAACTTTGGAGGTGTGGAAAAATATCCCTGCAGACACTATATAATGAAGAATTTATGTTATATTTAGTTGTTGAGGCTTCTGTGTCATTTTTTGTTACACTATTTTCCTTTTTTGCTTCTTTCCTGACACTAAAAAATGAACAACTTGTACTTCATGGCCATTTGGACTGGAAATATATTAAATGAAAGGGTGGTCTCAGATTTTTGCATATTACTGTACCTAAGTGCATGGTTTAATAATGTTACAATGGATATTTTGTTAACCAGAATGTTTGCACTCTTAGCTACTTTGACCTTTTTTTAACATGTCTCAAATCCACTAAATTCTTCTTTTGCAATGAAGTGTCTGCATCTAGCATGTATGGAAAATAACTGAGCCTTTTTAAGGCAGGCATCTTTGCCCCCAAGCCGTGACCATCATAAAGGTGGTTCCTAACAGCTCTTGAAATCACCCACCAACTATAGTGTAGTTGGCGAGCATTATGAATCCTGATCCATGATCTCAAAACCATTCACATTTCAGCAGGAGCATGTTGGCCTCACTGGTAAAGGCAATCATTGTGATGAGACACCAACAGGAGACCAAACTATTGGCACAGCTTGCATTACCAGCTTCTGTATATTCCTCCCTCACTTGACATGTTCTCTAAAGGTCCATAGCAGGTACACTGTGAGACACTACAGAGCTCAGTCAGGAGGAGAACATTCCAGATGCTCTTTCCACTTTTTCTGTCCTTCTTTTCTTCTCCATTTGGAATAAACTCTCCTCTCTGGAATTCCTTTAGATCCGTTTGACGGCATTTTTCTCAGAGCTCTGGAAGGAGCTGATCTCCCAGCGGCGGAAGGTGCTTCCCCTCGTGTCCATGCGGCCGGTTGTTAGCCTGTAAATCTTCCTGAGCACGGCTCGTCGCAGCAGGATATAAACCCAGGGGTCCAGGATCTGGTTGCAGGAGGCCAGGCGCACCCCCATCACCATCAACTTCTTGTAGGGCTTGTCATCTGTCTCGGAGCCGCTATAGGAGTGTCTGACTGACATCAGGCCGAAGATCTGCAGGAAAAGGGAAAATAGTTGTGCTCATTAAGTCACGGTGCTTGTTGCGTAGTTTCTAAAGATTAATTACATAACATACAGAATGTGTTTTAATCAGGTTTTAGGATTGTCCTTTTAAAGCAATGGTCCAGCCACAAAATTCAATTTACACAATTTTCCTAAATGTAGTCAATCAGCCAAATCATGCTTGGTGTCTGAGTTTGCTTCTTTAGTTTTGCACTTTAGTTGAAGTTAAGTGGCTAATGTTACTCACAAGTAATAAAAGCTATGTTTCAGGCCAATTCTGAAGAAGAACGATTTAATTACTCAAATAAATGCTTGGGGTAGGCAGTCAGACAGTAATTCTAAATTTCTACCATGTACTCAAAGAACAATGTATATTTATAGCATTTCAGAATCAGAATCACTTTATTTCACCTGCTATGTTGCCCATACAAGGTGTGTTTTGCTTTTGTTTTGGTGAGTGCACACATGTATGACACGTAACATGAACAGACCAGACAAGCATACAGACTAATAACAAGTATTTAAATAAGAGACAAATAAAATAAAAATAGAGTAACTTAGTATAAACTTGAGACTATAATAACCATTTTTCCATGTAACACTGACAACACACAGTAACTGTAAGAACTGAAGACCTTCTGAGTTTCAGAACAGAAGTACATTTCAATAAATTCAAGCTGACACTTTACGATCTAAACAGACTTCCATGGAACAGGTTTTCGTCCCTTACTGTAAGTCTAACCTCACATACTACATATGCAGTAATAAATCACAATAAGACATTCTCTAAAACTTCTGCTAAACTTGGCAATAGAACCAAGCACCCTAAAAATAACTGAATATTAGTCATTGTTTCAGTTTTAGCCTTTGATTTATGGAGGGCTATAAATAGTGCATTCCATTCAGCCTTATATCTGTTGCATCAAAACCAAGCATTCTAGCCACATCAGAACCAACAGGAAAAAGACCATTTAAAAAATTACTGAAATTTCTGTCCACTGTCTTGTGAGTGGTCCGGCAAATCACTGGAATGTACACACGCTGATGCACCGCAGGTATTCTCACAGTGCACTGTGATCACTGGCAAGGACCACATAGCAAAATGTCTCCATTCATCACTGTTGATAATTATAATCATATTAATGGAAAAGTCTTATTTAGTAAACATAGCTCTGGCAGAAAATCAGTAGTATTCATCTTATCAAGATGTGAATAGTGCTTGCTTGTTTCTAACTACTTATATAGGAAAGATTGCCAATTCAAAATATAACCTAAATTTTTTCTATTTTAGCCTATTTGAGTTGGACAATGACACTTTCAGACAGAGGGCTTTAATCATTCAAAAAAAGCTGCGTTCACATTCTTACAAAAAAGATTCTTTCAGAATTCAGAACAGAGCTGTGCATCCGATGGAGCGCTTCCAAACCACTTAGCAGTAATAACACCCAAGTCCTATCATCTCTTTCCTAGAACTCATTCTCTTTACGATGTGGATTACTGAGTCGCGGTTTGTTGGAAATGTCACATTGTGAAATCCTTCTCAGTTCAGATATCCAGTCGTGTTCACTTGTCACTAAAACTTTTAAGACAATTCAGTACAAAATTAAAGAGGAATTCCGCCAATGTTCTGCATAATTAAATGACCACCTCATATAAAGTTGTTACACAAAATGGTTACAAATATGCTAAAAAAAACCTTCAGATTTATCATTACTTACCTTTATCAATATTATTAGGGATGCACAATCGTAATTGTCAGATTTTTGCTCCAAATGCAAAATCAGCAATTGGCCAATTTTTTGTTTCATTTTGGCAAATCTCAGTTGCGCTTTTGTAATGTAAATAATGTGACACAGCTGCATACACTGTGCTGTATTTGAATGCTGCTGCTACACACTGAAATGTTTTAGCACAATTATGCCAGACACATTGTGCTAAATAGACAGTTGTCACTTACTTTCAATGTAGAACATTTGATTCATGCTATTTGAACAGGAAACTGATTTAAAATTGAAAATAAAAAAAAAGGATAATAGAAAAATAAAGAAATTGGAATTGGAAACGCCATAAAACATTACATATGAACATGTGCAGGGTAATTTTGGATAGTAAATAAAATGTTTACATTTGTGTTGTAGGCATCACGACCCCTGGTTCCCATCACCACCACTGTAAGTTTTTCCATAATGCACCATTTCACATCAAAGCACTCTAAATGACTTTGCTTACATCGCAGTGACTAGATTATTGCAGAGATCTTGGAGAAAAATGGTGGAATTCCACTTTAAATTTATGAAATGTATACAAAGAAAATTCAGAGCTGTTATAATCTCACTTCATAGAAAGCTGTGAGTTTGTTTTGTGTGTTTGTGTATTTTGGCAGAATAAAACCAAATGGCATAATATGCGAAGGTATTGCCATGATTACAGAGGAAATAGCAGCTTTTGATCTTATCCATGAATGTCTTACATGCATTTTCTGATTGGTGGTATTTTGAATGCTGGGCTGAGTTTGTACATTGATTGTACTGTGATTATCAGACGATTATAATACAATAGTTTGTGCATTGATTGTACTGTCTTTGCTCTGACTCACCAGCAGGGGGCTCCAGCAAATGCAGGACGTGACCATGATCCCCACCAACTGCGCCACCATCTCGATGTCATGCGATTTTGCTATGCGGCGTGGGCACTTTCTCCTCCGCAGTCTGGCCAGCACCAGGGTCATCCCACTGATCGTGTTGCACACTAATGACACAGCCAGCGAGGCAAGCCCCAGCCCAGAGAACAGCAGCACGAAGGCCACATCAGTGTCTTTTGTTTTCTCAAGCACTCTAATGAAGCACCAGGTCCATGGGTACTGATAGGTGTATTCTCCAAGCCCGATGACGGGAGACAAGGCCACAAGAAGCGCTACCAACCAGATCAACGCCACAGCCACTTTAGTACGAGTAGTAGAGACAAGTCGGGCATGGAGGAGTGGCCGAGTCACTCCCAGGCATCGCTCGGCTGCCATGGCGCAGCCCAGGAAGAGCGGGCACAGGCCGAAGAACACCATGCTGCCACCCAGAAACAGGCAAGTGGCATCTGTGTCAGGGGGCGAGTTCAGATTGGCATGGTTTGAGTAGAGGTGCAGCACCAGGGCGCCAGGGATGATGTGGCCTGCAAAGTCCGTTGCCACCAGGGAGCTGGCGAAGAGCAGGAACGTGGCCTTGGAACGCCGTCGAAGACGGGCGTAGGCCTTGGCCAGAATGAAGAGCGCAATAATGTTAGACAGGACGCCTAGGGTCATGGAGAGTCCAGCAGATGTTGGGTCATTGGAATTGAGATTGGTCATAACAGAACTCACTGTTCGGTTGTCCTTATTGCCCATGGCTGCCACCTCGACTGTCCCAGGGGTCTGGTTGGAGATGGGTGCTATGGCAGCCAGAGCTGAGGTGTTGCAGTGCTGGATAGATAACATCTCCAGACTGGGGGTGCAGGGGCAGTCTTCACAGAAATACAGGGCTAGAAGGAGTAGAAAGAGAGGTATAAGAACAGTGAGTTGGTGTTTCATTATAGTACACACTTAAAAAAGGTTTTATTAGTGAAGGCAGCAGATACATCTAGAACCATGACAACATCTGAATGTTTAAATGTTTCTTTACATGATTAAATAGAAAAGTTATATAGTTGTTTAAAGAACATTTTAAAAATGATTCTCTGCAACACAGACTTCCACTTCCACCCTTTTTGCTCAGAGTTAGGTGATTAGATTAGCTTAACACACAAATTTCTCGACATGGCGTAAAGCTGCTGTCCGAACAAAACCTCGTACCTCAAAAAAGGTAACTTTACAGAACAAGGAAAAACATTCTTAACCTTGAATAGAAGTAAATGGAGAAATATTTTTTCCCAAGTCATTTTGGGCCATTTCTGTTGGTCCGTTCAGCATAAAATTGTAACACAACATAAAGGACAACTACCTGTTTCAGGTTATGTCAACAAATGAAAAATGACAAAAATGGAGATACGAGGTTTTGTCCTGACAACAACGTTATACTGATAATACTTAATATCATTGTTGAATTCTAAGTAGATTTAAAATGTAATTTGCAAAAATATTATTTTAGCTGAGCATTTTGTCACTTTTGCTTAGACATAACATTTAAATATGTTTCATCCTCCCAGCTGTCCACTATTTATTGTTTAGTCTATGCCTAGCAATTGTATAGTGTTTTGTCTAGCTTATTGTCTGTATTTATCTCACTTATTATCTGTTTGCACTGTTGTCTGCTGCTGCTCTGTAGGAACTGTACTTCATTCCTCACTCAGCTCATCTGTGGTGAGAAAGAATTTGACTTCAAGTTGTCGAATAAGTTGTTGATAATAGCCTTTTAAAAATGTATCTATATATAACATCCCAAATGTTGATCATGTGGGATTAACTTCATTGCTATAAATAATTTCTGATCATTTGAAGATTCCATAATTGCTACGCAAACCACTTAAATATAGCAATTTGTGCATTACACATTCCATTCACGCCCCATCATTAAGACCTATTGAGAATATTAGAAAACTGGATATATTAAAAAGGACAGAGTGTATTTTTCTTCTTCATAAATAAAGAAGAATAATGCATCTAAAAAGCCCTAATTTAAGCCCTAAAGTGTACACTCCTTTCTTGTATAAAACTCTTTTATATTTTGTTTTGCATCTAACTAATGTGACATGAGTCAAAAATGCTGAACAAGTCTGAACACCTCTTGATGTCTGGCAGCGGAGAACACCCTGGACTCTCAGAAAACATCTTTCATAATTACAGAGCTAAAGGCTTCTTATGGCTGTGCAAACAGATGTCTGTATTTTGATATCTTGGTTACTACCAGCAGCCCACTGAGCACACTTAGGAGCTTTATGCAGCATTTCATACAGCAGCTAAACGTACACTGGATAGCAACGGGCAATTAAGTCAAACTAATCAAATCACTTCGGTTTTGAACAGAGCTGGTTTATTGATGGTCGTCATAAGTCATATACGATCAAACATCTCATCTGAAGTACACACTTAAAAAGACAGTTCTTCAAGGGTTCTTCAGTAAAGGCAGTGGTTCTCTTTAGAACCATGAGTTCTATATAGAACCATTACATGCTTGAATGGTTCTTTGCCTGGTGAAATGGTTCATCAGATTGATGGAGAATGTGCTGTATATGGTTCTATATAGCACTAAAAAGGCTTCTTCTATTGTTAATAAAAAGCTTGTGACAATAGAAGAACCCTTTTTGGTGCTATCTAGAACCTACGACACATTCTCCATCAATCTGAAGAAGCAGTTCACCATGGAAAGAACCATTTAACCATACAAATTGATGTATATAGAACTAATGGTTGTGAATAGAGCCATTGTCTTTACTAAAGAACCCTTGAAGAACCATCTTTTCTAAGCGTGTAAGCAATGAAACCAAACAAAGAAAATCCTCTATTAATTAATATTAATCTGAGCTGTAGTAATAATAATATATAATAATAAATAACAAACTGCCTTTAGCTCACCATTTGAGAGATTCCCCGGTTATGTCATGGCCGATATGGAAAAAAAAACAATAAAGAAGCGAAAGTAGTAAATCCAACATGCAGTTTTCTTTAACCCATTTGCCCACTTTCTAGAGAAAACCGTATTCCCTTAAGAAAAAATCGTGCTCTCGTCTTTGAAATGTTCCTCATTTTGTGGTCAGGCCGGCAGACGTTTATTAGTTTAGTGACCAGTCTTTCGGTCTCGCCTCTTTTAGCTCTCTGTGCTGCTCTTCTAAGAGAACTTCAGTCTAAGCTTCACTTTTATCCAAAGGAGGAGGTGTTTATTTCGCACCCGTATTCCGACAAGCCCCGCCCCCAGCGCTGGGACTGGCGAGTAATTTACAAGTGAGTACGAAACAGTAGCCAATCGTAGCCAGGGGGGCGGGGCTTGTCGGAATACGGGTGGAGGGTGAGATCGGAAGAACATAACGCGTTCAGCTCATACTGCGGCTGCCACGTTCCAAAATACAGCAAATAAAAAGGTGGATCTATGCCTAATTTTACGACAACACCTACTACAAAATCTGCTCTGGTGAAATAGATTTCACTTCACTAGCAGTGATTAAAGAATCATTTCCCCATATCATTTGCACTCATACTGAATGAGCTGTGCTCTGCAGCTGGGAGGGATCTCTATCAGGGTAAACTGCCTATGACTAAACTGGGAGAAAATGTGTTGTTAAGGGGAGGGAGGACAATTTTTTATTCACTGTAATTGTTCCTCCAGTTTCAACACAATAGAGATCACATTGTGATGAATGCAAACCAGATCCGTTCTCTTTGCCTTTAAAAACATTCTGTGGGTGGACCACTTGTAGCCACATCTGCATGGGAGGTTTGAGCTCAGCTTTTGGACTTGATTCTCACTGCATGAAAAAGGGGCCTATGACGGGGTCATAACATCCCCTTTTACTTGTTAGACTTCTGTTTTCATAATGTTGCACTGCAAAGCAATTGATACAGACAGCAGCAGAAAAATGTATATCCAATAACAGCAACGGCATTAACACAAAATTAAAAAATGTGGCAGAACTATAAAATTTATAACTAAAGTAGGGCTGCCACTATCGATTATATGAGTAATCGAATAATCTAGTGATTATTTCGGAGATTAATCAAGTAATCTTTTTTCTTAAATGCCAAACACTTAAATTATATAATCTTCATTTTATGAGTAGCCTGAGTATCACCACTATGACAACGCTAATTATCACTAGGAGCATTTCAATTTTATGTTAATGCCAAGTTAGCAGTGTTTTACAGTTAAGTCTCACATACAATTTAATGAGGACATTTGAAGCTTGCAACAGACATTTAAGAGTCATATTCTTTACTTTGTAGGCCTACATTGCGGTTTTACAGTTCCTTCACTAAAGCCTAACTCTGAATATTAGTGAAGTAGCCTGTTCAGCCTAGACATACTTACACAAAACCTTTTCACTTCATATTTTTTCTTTATATGTTTAATTCTTACACAAGCAATTGGTAGCAGCATACATTTATTTTCACATACATGAAATTTGTAACTATAGACATAATATTTGTGCATCAGCGAGAACCTGTTGGTGTGGGTTTCCTCTCTTACAGTGAAAAACACAAAAGTGATATGATTACTAACGGCCTTCCTTTTGGGGAGCGTACAGTCTGTTAGACATGGCCTTATAAGGACTAGCCGACAACATGTTATTTACTCAAATTACAAACTAATCACTAAGCTGTTTCATTGAGAACATACATTTTTTACTTTAATTTTTAATTAATTTTATTTTCATTTTAATTAATCATTTTTTTTTGATTGAGTGATCATGAATGACAGCTAAACAAGATTACTATCCAAATTAGAGTCGCTGTGCTCTACAGAATATGCAATATTAGCAGTGTACCACAGATTAAAGCAATATTCTGTCATCTAAACATAATATTTTCCTGACACTGCTATCCAAAGCCAAACTCAAACACTCAGACATGTACGGCCACGTTTGTACGTCTAATGTACAGTCATGCATTTCTCTCCCTCCCTGTTCAAACAGAGCTCCCTTTCATGCAAGCTGGAGAAAGTCAAAGCCTCGTTTAAATCCAGATCATCCCTTCTTTTCATTTAATGTCTACAAACCTATGAAATTAGAGCTGAGAAGGCTTCATTTCTACTTGAACGAGACCGATGATATTAGAGCTAGGAAAGCTTAATTTCTACTTGAATGAGGGCCTAATGGGCTGATAGGAGGAATATGGCTCACTGCGTTGAGAAGACAGGCAGGAGAACTAAAGCCAAGCGCTGGAGACAGGTGTGTCCGCAGTGTTTGCACACGCTAATCAAGTCCCAGGCCTGAACAGTCCACCAGGGTATGAAAGAGACCTGGAGGTGAGCTAAAATCAACATCTTCCAGACAACCTGTGGTGATAGGAAGAAAGAGAGAGCAATTAATAAGGAAGAGAGAGTGAGGAGACTGGACTGTTCTTCATGTTTTTAACTCACGAAACATGACTGCAAAAGCAACCGTTTGTCCCGACATCATGTGCGCTCACCAGGCATGGAAATTTCTGTTTGCACAGCTACAGCAACATTTTCAGACAGGGCCCGCATATCCAAAGTGGAGCAGCTTATGCGAAACCAGAGCGCAAAGAAAACATGTCATTTCGGTTTTTAAAGCTACAGGCCAAATAAACCCAACATGACACTAATTGTTGAAGAGCACGGCAGTAGTCCGTATTTACACCAGTTTAATCAGGTTAACATTATGATTGGCTTTTTTTTTTCCCCACCAGAAATTTCTGGAATCTTTGACTGGTGCAAATATGAATCCATTAACTCCAATAACACACACTTATTTTAAGCCACCCACTTAAAGCCAAATCAGATAGGGAGAAAAAGATGGATTGCAGATGTTGAGATTGCGTACCACTTCATAAACCCCGCTCTCAACAAAAAGCCCCAAAATTCCAAAATCACACTCCAGCAACACGGTTGGTGTTGTTTGAGTGTTTGTGCTGGACACCAAAGGCGAGAGACAGGTTTTTAAACATGGTGCTCTCAGACAGACCTCTGCAACTGACCCAGTACTCTGTCAACGAAGAACAAAGAGAACAAAAATCATAACTCTTGGCTCTTCCGAAAATTTTCCATTCTAGTTCCTCCGAGGGCATTCCACACCAGTCCATATCTCACCATAATTTGCAATCGAAAAACCTCAGCTGTTTGGTCCCCTTCACCCTGAGCTCCTCCAAACCCATTTCTTTGTCTCCAACCCCTACATTTTTTCTCCCGAACCCTGGATCCCAGGAGCCAAGGCTTTGAAATGTAGCACTGCTGCTGTGTCATATCTACCCCGAGACACTTTCTGCTGTTCAAGCCTCCAGAAGTAGCCTCGAGCAGATTCCCCCCAGAGCTTTTCAAATACCATTTTGACAGTGCAAGGCGCTTGAGCATGACATGAACACTAATAAGTTATTATTCATGAAGCTGTGGAGTACGTTCTCTGCTTTGACCAGCTTAAATGGACCTGGCTACAAAATACGTAACAGTCGTCTGAGGAATCTTTGATTTGGTATATTTAACATGTAACTGTTGGGAATCTGGGTGGTATGAGACGTTTCTGTACTGCTGTAGTGCTTCATCTAAGACTGTGATGAAAGTCTGTTATATTTAAACTCATGTACTGTAGAAGATAGAGGATACTTTATATTCTTACTCAAGTATCCATGAAAAGCCCTATAAATTCCTATCTCTACTACCCATTTCTTGTGATGACGTGTTCACAACCCCCACAGCCACCCCATCTCCTCCCTGTTCCTCAGTTCTCTCCAGTCCAAGTTCTCAGAGTTCACTTCTCACCCTCAGTCACAAAGTCCCTGCTCATACTACCACCATGCCGTGATAATGGGATCACATTTTACATCACTCTGTTTCTCAAATTGAGTGCAAATAGTCATATACATATATATGAATACACAATTTCCTTTTTTCCAAGGAAAATAGTACAAAGACAACATATCAAATGTTGAAACTGAGAAATTGTTTTGTTTTTGAAAAATATATTCCCATTTTTAATTTGATGCCAACAACACGTTCCAAAAAAGTTGGGGTGTGGGCATGTTTACCACTGTGTTTCAACACCTCTTCTTTTAACAACACTCTGTAAGTGACTCTGTAAGCGTTTGGGAACTGAGGAGACCAATTGCTGTAGTTTTGAAAGTGAAATGTTTTCTCATTCTTGTTTGATGTAGGATTTCAGCAAGTCAACAGTTCAGGGTCTCCTTTATTATTTTTCATGTCATACCGCACCAAATGTTTTCAGTGGCTGACAGGTCTGGACTGCAGGCAGGTCAGTTTAGCACCCAGACTGCTTTACTACAGAGCCATGCTGTTGTAATACGTGCAGGATGTGGTTTGCCACTTCCTTGAAAAAGACGTTGGCTGGATGGCAGCATAGACGTAGTAGTTGCAACATTCTATTATTTCTTAATATTCAGCTATATTAATGTTAATGTTTGGTTGTTGCCTTAGAATTTATTGCTTGAAATATTGTGTATGTGGTGCTATGCATGCGCAAAGTGACTCAGGAAGGTGTTAGGCATGCTGTGGCGAGAGAAAGCTATATACATGTATAACTGACACAACTGCTGATGTACTTCCGGAACTCTCTGCTTGCTAAATTTTATGTAAATGAGCTGAGTGGCCACCAATCAGACATGTGGTGCCGTAACCAATTGAACCAACGCCCACAGTCACAAGCTGAGAAGATAAAAACTCGCTGCAATGAAAAGGCAGCCATAACTTAAACAGTGCATGGCTACTGCCAATTTTGAAAATATGTAAATAAAAAACATATTAAATAAAAATACAAACTCCACCCTAAAACAAGCACACATATGTCTTTTCTAGACTTATTTTACAGTTCAGTTTTTAAATTTTTTAATTTTTTTTTAAATTACTTTAAGCAGTTGCAATTAAACAAGCTTAAAATCTGGGGGTGCTGCAGCCCCCTTTAGCACACCAACATACTGAATTCCTGCAAATGCATGGTGGTCCTGTGCAGTACCATGCTACTCGAGTGGTCTTTTCACTAGATACTTTCTCCTTCTTACTCCTATTCAAGTGATTATTTTGATAAGTACTTTTACTTCTACTTGAGTGGATGTTTTTAAAGGCAAAGTAGCAATACTTGTATGTCAGTGCAATTTTCAGGTACTGTATTGAAAATACAAAAATACTTTATGAATTTTTTACTTTAA